GGAAGTCCCATTACACGATATAATGAATTTTGTGACAACCTTGACAGAGGTGCAAAATCATTGTGTGATATATTGAATTCATTACTGCCTAACACTACATTCTTTTTTCCTATGTCTTTTCTAGAAACAACAGAATCTGCTTGAGTTGATATCTAAATATAATATGAACAAGCTGGGTAAAATTATATCTGCTGCCATCTTAAAATCCTGGCCAAAGGATGATACGGGGACGCCTTTGAAAGACTTTCAAAGTATACTAAAGCATATGTTTGAATGGCAGGACAGCAGATACCTGTTCGTTTTCAATCGTATGTAAATCATTTACAGGATCCATGTTATACTCAGAGGGAATATGTAAATGATCAAAGTAGCTACATAACAGAAAATGGCTATATAATATAGAATAATGGAGGAGTTATATTGGATATTTCATACATTTGTATATTTAATACAAGCATATTGTATGAAATTATGATGAAATAGTAATCTGCTTCACAAATGTTCGTTGATATTTTGACTAAATGTATATATAGTATTTTTTAAAAATTTCCTGTTTGGCAAAAATAATAGAATTACATCTGTGTGCAGGGCTGAAAAATGAGATATAGGAAAGTGAGATAGGAAATTGAGAATACAGGATGTCCTCGACTTATGACTGTAATTGAATCCAGAATCACAGTCATACACTACATGACCTGACCCAGCTTTCTGACTACATACTGGCTTTTCCAGGTGTGGTTTTTAAGTGGATGTTAAGTGGATAGAGGGAGGCAGGTAGTTCCCCTCCATGCACAGAAGGGAACTACAGCTCTCGGCTGTGGAGAAGGAGCTCAGATCTTCATGATCGGAACTTTTCTCCAGCCCATTCATTCTCCTCCTGCCTGCTGGAGACACTCCACCCCATGTGGGGCAAAATCAATCTGTCAGGCAGCATTCTTGCTCTTAAAGAGGTTGGGTGAAAATGGACTAATTTTTTGCTCCTTCTTTGAGTCTCTCCCTTTCTTTGCTCAAAGAAGGAGGAAAAACTGCTTGCCGATGAGACTCAAGTCTCTCCAAGCAAGCAGCTCTCCAAGCAAGCAGGAAGAGCAAAACTTTTCCTGACAAAGAAAGTTGAGTATTTTTGCCCTCAAGGAGACTGGGTAAAAAACAGCCCTTTTTCAGCAAGCCCCCTGAAAAGAGCAGAGGCAGACCCTTCCCAGGGTTAGCCAGTAGGGGAGACTGCAAATGGTGATCACATAGTTGCAGGGTGCTTGGCGACTCATCATGAGCATCCAGATTGCAGTCATGTGACCGTGATCATAATCATATGATCATGGGAGGGGTCTGCTTTGGCGGTAAGTTGGACACAAATCGTAAAGTCCTTTTAGCGCTGTCATAATTTCAAACAGTTGCTGAACTAATGGTCATAATCAAGCACTACCTGTAAGTCATTTTGCATGGCATTGTTTTCAGGTGACAAGAAGGAAGTACCTAACTTGAGCAATTTAATGCCCCCAAATCTTTCTTACTGTTTTTAATATGTTTAATAGGTGCAGAAGAAAACACTGTAAACCAATTTACTGATGAAGCTCGATCGTTAATGACTCTTGCTGAATCTTCGTTTCAAAATGCTGCTAATGAACTCGTAACAGGCCATATTCTGATTAAGGATTTGGAGCTAATTATAAAATATAAGACACAATTCATAAGTAAGTCCCTTTTGCTTATACTAATGGAGAGAGGGATGAATTGTGTGAATGTAGTTTAATCATGTGGTTAATTGGGTTTTATGAAATCATAAATCACCAGGACAATAAAGAAATACATATCTTGTTTTTATGCGGAGTCATCTTAGAGCAGAGTTCCCCAACCTTCCCGTCTTTGCGGATCAGCAGGGCTGGGTCAGGGATGGTTCCATGCACACTTGTTGGCTGCTCCTGCAAATAGAGCTGCTGATCTTATACAGTGCTTTACATCAGAAAGGGGCCTTGTGTAGTGGTCTAGCAGTGGGGGACACTCCCTAAAGAGGTGCATTTGGCTCCTATTCTCCCAGTACTTAGGAAGGTGGCAAGCTCTTCTTTGTTAACTATTTTAATTATTGGTTTTACCTTAGGTTTTTTTATTTTAATTATAATTTGTTATATTTGTTTAATAATCCATTAAATAAATAATTGGAGCTGTACTTTTCTTGAACTTTTAAGTGAATTGCAGTACCATTACTCTTGTAGAACCATGATGTGAGAAAAGGGGGCTAGGAAAGTATGGAGGAATGTTAGAAATAAAGAACCTGGAGATAATAGTAGTAGTAGTAATAGTAGTAGTAGTAGTAGTAGTAGTAGTAGTAGTAGTAGTAATAAAGTTGGAAGGGATCTTGGAGGTCATCTAGTCCAGGGCTTTTCAACCTTTTCACCCATTGTGCCACTTTTAGGATATGGCAACATCCGAGTACCACCAGTCGCCTAGCAAGGTGTCAAAAACTTGATGACCAAAAAAAGAGAGAAAAAATTGATAAAAGTACAGGTAGTCCTCGACTTACAACAGTTCGCTTAGTGACTCTTCGAAGTTACAATGGCACTGAAAAAAGTGCCCCCCAAGCCACAGCCGAGCAAGACACCTGCCTGCCCACCCGGCGCCACTCTTCCTCCTGTCCGAGGTTTTCATTGTGAGCATTTCTGTTGAGGATTGGCAGCGGGGGTGGGGTGGGGTGTTTGGTTTTTATTCCCCCCCCTCTGGGTGGTTGCAGCAGGTTTTGGTCACTTCACATGACCCTGGGACACTGTGACCGTCATAAATATGAATCAGTTGCCATTCAGCTCATTCCCCTCCCCCGCTAGCACTTTTCTAGGATGGTCGCGTACCACCTGCCAGGTGCCAATGTACTACAGGTGGTACCCGTACCACTGGTTGAAAAGCCCTGATTCTAGTCCAACTCCTGCTCAGGCAGGAAACCCTATACCATTTCGGACAAATGGCTGTCCAGTCTCTGCTTAAAAACTTCCAGTGTTGGAGCATTCATCGCTTCTGGAGGCAGGTTGTTCCACTGGTTAATTGTTCTAACTGTCAGGAAGTTTCTCCTTAGTTCTAGGTTGCTTCTCTCCTTGATTAGTTTCCACCCGTTGCTTCTTGTCCTGCCTTCAGGCGCTTTGGAGAATAGCTTGACTCCCTCTTTGTGGCAGCCCCTGAGATATTGGAACACTGCTATCATGTCCCCCCTCGTCCTTCTCTTCATTAAACTAGACATACCCAATTCCAGCAACCATTCCTTATATGTTTTAGTCTCTAGTCCCCTAATCATCTTTGTTGCTCTTCTTTGTACTCTTTCTAGAGTCTCAAACATCTTTTTTACATCGTGGTGACCAAAACTGGATGCAGTATTCCAAGTGTGGCCTTACCAAGGCATTGTAAAGTGGTATTAATACTTCACGTGATCTTGATTCTATCCCTCTGTTAATGCAGCCCAGCACTGTGTTGGCTTTTTTGGCAGCTGCAGCACACTGCTGGCTCATATTTAAGTTTCACTTTCTCTATAGAATTCTGTATAGATGATTCTTTGGTTGAAGTCATAGTTTGAGTTTGCATATCCAGACTTATACAGAGAGTTTGGATAATCGTTTTTAACATACAAAGAATTTGTTCCTGTTCTTCCTCTGTAGCAGCACACTGCTGGCTCATATTTAAGTGATTGTCCACTAGGACTGCAAGATCCCTCTCACAGTTACTACTATTGAGCAAGGTACCCCATATACTATACCTGTATTTTGGTTTTTCTTGCCTAAATGTAGAAGCTTACTTTTTTCACCATTGAATTTCATTTTGTTAGATAGTGCCCAGTGTTCAAGTCTGTCCAGATCCTCCTGTATCTTAAGCCTGACTTCTGGAATGTTGGCTATTCCTGCCAGCCTGGTATCGTTTGCAAATTTGATGAGTTCCCCATTTATCCCCTCGTCCAAATCCTTGATGAAGATGTTGAAGAGCACTGGGCCCAGAACAGAGCCCTGGGGCACCCCACTACACACTTCCCTCCATGTAGATGTGGTTCCATTGAGGACCACACGCTGAGTACGGCCGGTCAGCCAGCTACGGATCCATCTGGTGGTGATGCTGTCTAACCCACATTTTTCTATCTTATCAAATAGTAGGTTATGATCTACTTTATCAAATGCCTTACTGAAGTCCAAGTAAATTATATCCACAGCATTCCTCTGATCCACTAATTTTGTCACTTGGTTAAAGAATGCAATAAGATTTGTCTGGCTTTATCTATTTTTGAGAAACCGATGTTGGCTTTTAGTAATGACTTTGTTTGCCTCTAGGTGTTCGCCGATTCGTTGTTTGATTATCTTTTCCAGAATCTTCCCAGGTATTGAGGTCAGGCTGATAGGTCTGTAATTTCCTGGGTCCATTTTTTTTCCTTTTCTGAAGATGGGAACTACATCAGCTCTTTTCCAGTCCTCCGGTAGTTCCCCAGTGCTCCAGGATCTTTGAAAAATATAGTTCAATGGTTCTGAGATCACATCTGCCAGTTCCTTGAGAATCCTGGGGTGTAATCCATCTGGTCCTGGTGATTTGAACTCGTCTAGGCTGGACACGTGCTCACTTACTGTTTTCTTGCCTATCTTAACTTGCGTTTCTCTTCTATTTTTTATGGCACTATTTTTGATAGGTTGGTCTGTTTTTTCCCTTTCTGTAAAGACAGATGCAAAAAATGAGTTAAATAGTTCTGCTTTCTCCCTGTTGCTTGTCACCTTCTTGCCACTTTCCCCCACTAATGGACCAATCATTTCCTTCACTTTTTCTTGTTTTTTACATGTTGAAAGAAGCTTTTTTTGTTATTTTTGACTTTGATCGCAAGCCTTAGTTCATTTTGAACCTTAGCTTTCCTCACTTCATTTTTGCAGGCTCGGGCTATTTGTTGATATTCTGACTTAGTTATGTGCCCCTCTTTCCACTTTCTATACTTGTCCTTTTTATCTTTCAATTTATCAGACAGTTCTTTATGCAGCCATGCTAGTTTCTTTTGAGAGCTGTTATTTTTCCTCTTTGTTGGTATTGTGCTGGACTGGGTTTTTATTATCTCACTTTTCAAAATTTCCCAAGCTTCTTGAGTTGTTTTCCCCTCGAGGATTCTCATCCATGGAATCCTTCCCAAGCCCTCTCTAAGTTTATTGAAATTAGCTCTCTTAAAGTCCAAGACTCTAGTTTGACTGTGTTCTATTGCTTGTGCTTCCATAATGTTGAATTCCAATATTGCATGATCACTTCCTCCCATGGTTCCTGTAGCTTCAACACCTTCTATCATTTCATCTCTGTTAGTGAGAATTAGAACCAAAATGGCTAATCCCCTAGTTCCCTTCTCTACTTTTTGGGAGACAAAATTGTCTGCTAGGTTTGCAAGGAATCTGTTTGATCTTCCACTTGGTGCAGAGTTTGTCTCCCAGTTGATGTCAGGGTAGTTAAAGTCCCCCATTACTATTGTGATGTGCTTCCTATATACCTTAGTTAGCTGACTAGCAAAAAGTTCGTCTATTTCCTCTGTTTGGTTGGGTGGCCTGTCATTTCCCCCCCTTTTATATTGACCCAAATGCATTCAAGACAGTTTTCATCATTGTTGTGTTCTATTTCTGTAGAGATGTAGTTATTTCTTACATATAGAGCAACTCCACCTCCTCTTTTATTTGGTCTGTTTCTTTTAAATAATTTAAATCCCTCTAGCTGTGTGTTCCATTTGTGGGTTTCATCCCACCATGTTTCCGTAATG